GGGTGCCCCCCCGCCCCCACAAGAATGTCCCCCCCCCCCCCTCCACCAGGAAAATTTAAAAATGGAACTCTGGAAAGCCATTTCCTGGACTTCTGGAACTCAGTTGGTTAGAGGGCTGCAGCGGAATCGCAGAGCCGCAGCCGTTCAAATGCCATTCCTGCCATTGGGTCTATACAGTTGCATTTTCCACAACTGCTCCTGGTTAAGTCTAAAAATGTACAGTATATAAATTTGCGTTCGAATATTCCATCTATAAAATACCCATCTACTTTTAGTTTATTTTAAGGCCTTTTCAAATAATATGTGTAGCATAACTGAGGAAACGAACACTGTGGTTTATGAAGAATTGCATTGTTTGTCACGGAACTCAATCACTTGGTAATGTTCTAGTATGATACTCCTCCGCACGACAGTTCCACACTGCGACCATTCCTTTCGAAGGGCTTTTTCTTCGGATCACGTCGGGGGTATCTTTTTAATCCAAAACTCAGCAAAAGTTGAAAGCCAGACTTTACGGAAAGTCTAATTTTGGGTAAAAATTATACAGCGCGCGCTGAAGAAATTTTCAAATTTCCCCAATTCATAGTGTTTCCTTTTCTAGCCCGAAAGTGTCTTACTTATTTTTAATAAATACTCATTGATGGGCGTGGCGAATTACTTAATTCTGCATCAAATTGTGAGAGTTATATAATATGCTTCAATTTATGATTTACATCAACTAATCAAATGCGACGACGATTTATATCAAGCACTAATTAAATGTCGTGAAGTCTCCAGCTTACTTACTAATGTATTTAAACTATTACATCAGTCTATACCTCATTCTACGTATTGTATATAGAGCATTTATTTCTAGGTTGCTGTAGTCGTAACGTCAAAATTGTAAATGAGTCTCAACGAACCCACAGGTTAAGCGAATACGCTGAGGTAGGAGTATTGCCTGCTTCATAACCAAAATCATAATACGGTGTTCCACCACCATTACCAAACTTTGCCGCATTTTCCTCTGTTATTCCAATGCCATGATCGGCTCTGTTACAACCACTTCCTCCTCCACCAATCATCATCACTGCACCATCACCAGCAGACCAATCACACCAAAACCCAATGTAGTTACTGCTCTGAATGTTACTGCTACAACTGTGCTTTTCAAAACCTGCTGTAGTTTTGTACCGCCCGCCATAACTAACTGAACAACGTCCACGACACTGGTCACTTGCCCAGACTGCGCGGTTACGAAAGTTTCCATAACTTGTGATCTTAGATCTGAATGTTCTGCCTTGAAGACAGTTGGAAGTTGTCTGTAGTAGAGCTGTGTGACTGGAATCATCACTTCGTGTTATCTTGAATTCGTTTCCTTTCACTTTCCAGAATGCTTCAGAAATCATATCCCTGTTGTCGGATGGACTCTTTGGATTACCATAGGAAGAAGATTTATCTAGCCAAAACTCCCCATTTTGTATCCAATTCTTCGAATCATGGTTGGAAAAGCGACTTATAAGTGACCATCCATTATTATCCATGTCACAATACGTCTATAAATATTGTGAGCACAACCAAAATTATTATTTGGGGCAGCGAGGGGGTTAAGGGTTAAATTTTCCGGACATATTTTCCCTAATCCCTCCTCTTACGTACCGTTTCCTGTTCAGTTTCCTCAATGTTTACCCCGCGGGCCGGGGCCCCAGCTCAGAAGGGCCCCAAAGCGACAAAGGCTGGTACGAGACTGCTTAACGGAGAATATAAATCCTCAGCGCTGGATATATGCAATAAAGCGTAATATACTGGAAATCACTGCTTCTCCCGTTTTACAATTATGACGTCATATTATATGAATTCAGATTTTTTAAGGATTTGTTGAAAACGACTCTTACCCAAAATGTTCCAATTTGATAATATCCGTTACGCAAACGAGGCTGTCGGGTTTTCAAATGTACGCAACTTGTTATATCTGTAGTATAATATCATTGCATGATAACAGTCAATCTTTAATGTAATAAAATCGCATAATGTACATTTGCGTAAGAAGTACAGATGTTGGCTGGTTTAAATATTTTACAAACGAAAATTGTGCATGGCAGAAGCTAGAAAATGGTATGTAAGAGACTAAGAGTTGACTGCGGATTGTACCCTTCGTCAGAAGCGAAATTAAGAATACTAAAATCCTCCAGGTTGTAATATTTATTTACAAAAAAATGTTATACTTTACTTACGATTGTCGATGGAAACGTTTAAATAAAGCTTCTTAATCTGTCCCTCTAACTTTTTCTGGTCACTTTTTACCTGCAGAAAAATGCGAACTAATTTGATCTAATTTGCTGTGTTGGTGTTGTGTACTCAGGTGAATATGTTTGTGATGTTACTCTGAGTGTGTATCCACACCGGGCAAGCCTGAGAAATATGCCTGGCCACGGTGGGAATCGAACCTACGACCTTTGGAATACTAGCCCAATGCTCTGCCAACTGAGCTACGCGGTCAGGTCGGTTCGAGTATGTGATATTTCAGAACTGAGTCTAGTTCC